CCTCCTGCCCTTTCCTTTCACCCGATCGTGATAGACAAACTCCTTCAGATATCCTGTCCGAATCAGCCTCTCGATCTCATCTTTCAAATGCCTGCAGTTCTCCGTGGTATGGCCGTAATCCTTGTGAAATCGGCAATACAAATCTGACCGGGGCCGATGCGGGCCGGTGAACCTTGTCTTTGGCCAAGTTACGTCCTCAGTCGACATCTTCTGCTCCATGGCCTCGAGCACTTCCGTCATATCTTTCCTCAAGGGAGTAAAGTTGTGGTACCTCTGCCTCTCGAACACCATAGGCCTCCTCTGCCATTCATCCCTCTTTTCCCTTTTCGCATCTCCACTCCTCCTTCGAGGAGATGCTCTCCTTTGTTCGCTCCTTTTAGGCGAGCTTCTGCTTGGTGATCTCCCCCTCGGGCGGCTTTGCTCCTTCTTTGGTTCTGGTTGGGACATCCCCTCGAGTTTTGCAAACTCCATCTCCATCTCCTCCAGATTAATGTACTTCCTGCACCGCTTCAGAACATCCTCGTACGATCGAGCCGGGGTCTTTGCCAAAGAAGTCCGGCAAGGCCCTGGTCGAAGACTCCTGATCAATCCTCATGCTTTTACCTCATCTGAAGCGGAGTGCACTTCCAAACATGTTTTATTATATCGAGCAACATACTTTCTCAGCGATTCCTTCTCTCCCTGCTTCATCGCCATAAGGGTCAAGTAAGTCTTCTCTTGTGCCACTGCGCTCGAATATTGGTTGGTGAGCTTGCTGGCAAGATCCTCGAAATCAGCAATCGATCCCGAAGGCAACTGATGAAACCAGTCAAGCGCTCCTCCGCGTAAGGTCGATAAAAACGCCCTGCAACAAACAGAATCAGAGTATCCATGCAACACCGCCATATTCTCAAAGGTCCTCACATGCCTCGATGGGTCAGATGACCCGTCATACACCAGGTTGGTCTCTTTGAAATTGTTTGGCAAGGGAGCAGCGAGAATCTCCCTTGAGAAGGGATGTCCTCGAGCTCTCCTTCTGGCCTTCCCTCCATCTTATCTTGCAACTGACGCAATTGCTCCGCCATCCTTTCCATGGCCCGATCTCTTCCAGCTCCTCCTTCCCCATAACTAGACACATCCTCATCTTGGTTCCCTGTTGTCGCTGTCGGCGCAGTGGTGGCGTGCGATGTGTGACTTGTGACCTGCTGCACCGCCTGCGCCGCCGCGGCCGCTGCGATTCTCTGCATCTCCTCCCGGGTCATCGTAACCACTTGCTGGCCCGGGGTTTGTACGGCTACTTGCGGTGGCACTCCTCCTTGTGCCTGCACTCCTCCTTGTGCCTG